AAAAAAAAAAAAAAAAAAAACACACTTGAAAATGGGGTCCGTCCGGCATCCCTGATTACTGTGCGCGGCCATGTGCTATTTCCATGTGCCATCTTTATCTCCTCTGTTTTGTTTCCAATGAAGTGACGTACTGTATTTACCCTCCCTAGGTTTCTCGACGGACCATGTGACGGCGCACCCGGCGATGGCCGATCCAGAGCCGGAGGGTTCGGCGGCACCCGTCCCGCCGCCGCGCAGAAGCCGGCCGGTGAACCTGGAGAGATTCTCCTCAACGCACAAATCCAAATGCTTCAGTAGTGTAGAGAGCGATCTAGACTGTCTTAGAACCCCAACCCAGAGCGCCCGAAGTGCCGAAGACGTTTTTTTAGACGTAAGTAACCGCGGACCAAAACTGAGCCCGGAGTTGGGGGCGAGCCCGGAGAGTCCACCGGGCGCCCTCTCGCCCTCCCTGAGCCCGCTCAGCGACCGGCGCGGCGACCTCTCGTCCTCGCCCCACGGGCGCCTCTCGCCCTCGCTCGCCGGGCGCCTCGCCGAGTCGGACGGGATGTGCGACTTCGGCTCCGACGGGAAGAAGCAGGCCGGCGAGAAGTGCAGACATCGGAAGCGACGGCGGCGGAACAAGGGGGTCGGCGGCTCCTTGGCCGGCACCACCTTCAGCCTCCAGAACCTCCTCGACGTGCCCGGCAAGCGAAGCTGCGAGACCTACACCCTCGCTCGCTCCAGGCAGAGCCCCAAACGCCGCTCCAAAGCACGCCACATCGCCAACTCCTCAACATCCTCGTCCTCTGCTGAAAGTCTGAGCTCCCTCAGGTACAGTCACAAATTTCCGTCTTCCACGTCACTCTGTTACTTTTTTTGGTCAGGTCAACCCATGCACTGTTAAAAATCAATGATTTACTCCGAGTGAATAACTGGCGTGAAAAAAAAATCCAGCGCGAATTTCGCGCCGTACTCTGAGTGAATAGATCAGAGCGTAAATATTACCAACGACGGACGAATTAGTTAAGGTACCTCAAGTAGCGTGAATTCAGGGCATCCTGGTACGAGCGCCGAATGGCAAAGTGGTATAGCGCACTCGTCTATCACCGCCGCGACTCGAGTTCATATCCATGCTGCGGCAGTTTCGTTTTACGTTTGCCTGTCAGATTTTCATTCCCGTCAGAGCGCGAAATTCGCACCTAGCTTATTTCGCGCCGGATCCATGCACTCAGAGTAACAGGTGGTCAAAATAGCAACTGAGTAAGCGTGAATTTCGCGCCGGAATGTTTAGCAGTGTGGAGTACAATAGAGTCGCAATGTATTGGAGTGCCGTTGAAGTCAATCCATGAACGGGCCATTCCGAGCCCCTTTTTACACGTTTAGGAACAAGTTTTTACAGATGAGGTAAAATTTGTAGTTCCGAATAACGAAATGTAGTCAAAATGATCACGGCATTACATCCCTGAGCAACGAGCGAGCTTTCACGTAAAATTCGCTTCGCTAGCATGTTTTTATTTAAAATTATATAAAAAAAATATGTGAATGAAGAGGAGAAAATCAGTTGAGTTTTATGTAATGTTTCATCATTTGAAATGATAATAATTCCATCAAACCTCACAAAAACCTCAAAATCATAAGTTGAAAACATCAAACATCGCAAGTTTGAATAATCGTATCAAACATAGTGCGGCTGGCGCGCACGGCGCGATTCGCATAGGAGCGCCTTACAAGTCTGCAGGATACTTCATGTATTGCGCGTACAGCACGGTACGCGCAAAGCATACTATAGCGCCTTTCAAGCCTGCAGGATACCTCATGCATTGCGCGTATACCACGGTGCGCGCTCAAGACGTCGGAAAGTCGTATTGCTATAGCGGGCTCATTGGAATACGCCGCGAGGCGGCCGGTAGATTTTCATACTAGCTCCATTGCATCCTGGGTTATTTTTAATGCCTCTCCGTGGCGGGAAAGTAGTTGTATTTTCTCATCGCGATAATTGAACGTGGAGACCGTTTAGAGTGCTGCTAACATTTTTTTTAATTAATGCCGAGAACAAAAGAATCTAATATGACTTTTTATGTCCTGCTAAAGCTCTCTAATATTTACGTAGCTACCGATTTACTTAGAGCAGAACGCCGTTTGAAAATATTCTTATCGGTTACACGTGCAAGCTGCGAGGCCATGTAACAGGGTTTCCGATTGGCTGTCATTTCGGTAGGCAGAGAAGGCCAAGATATTCAGCGAGTTACCAAGTGTCCAGCGACCCACCAATCGTTGCTATGACATCACGAGACCCTAATCGTTGACTTCTCCGTCTTCTCGTTCACGGCGACAACGCCATTCCTGCACCTCGCATCTCGGCTCCTTTTATATAGATTTTTGTAAAACTTGGTGACAGGAGGTATTTTTTGACGAGAAATTCGAATTTTCAGTCCAATTTTCGAAATTCGTAAATCCAAGATGGCGGATTTGGCTCAGAATGCTATCTCGGCTCCTATTGCATCGATTTTCGTAAAACTTGGTATCAGGGGGTATTTTCCGACAAGAAACTCAAATTTTCAGTCCATTTTTCGAAATTTGAAAATACAAGATGGCGGATGTGGCCTGAAATGACCGGAGATAAGAGCTAGGACTCCGCGCATCATCGCTAGTTTCCCCACACTAGTCTCAGGAGTTCTGGACAAAACAGCCTTATAAAGTTACTTCATCGGCGCTTCAGAACTTTGCGATTCTATTGTACTCTATGGGTCAACCTAAAGAAATTGGTCGATTCAACACACTTTGGTGTTGAATCGACCCAAACCGTAGACTACTCTAAGACATGGGGGCATGAAGAATGTGTTCTGTCCAACCTATGTACTCTTGTATTCCTCCTAGTGGTCAAAATCGCCTATTGCGAGTGGCTGGCACTTTTGACTTACACCGATGCGATCCAGGTACGATCCGGAGGTTGGTGACTAATTTTTAGCGAGGCTGCAGATTTTCAAGACAAGATTCGATTTCAAGAGAAATTTCAATTAATTTCAAGATTTGATCACCTCAATCCAAAGATTTGGTTTATTTGACACAGGGAAAAAGAACCCCCCCCCCAAAAAAAAAAAAAAAAAAAAAAAAATCTACCAATTTAGCCACTTCGTGTTTTTGTTCCCATATAAACACAAGATTTGGGTTACTTTTTTTTACTCTGTATGCGACCTTCTTCCTTTCTTTTTCGATTGCTTCTATATGAGTAGACAAAAGGCACGAATTTAGGCATTCTGATACATATTATTTAAGAAAAAAATCACGCATAACACGATTTGCGCAACGAAAATCATTTGGAATCGATGCGAAAATATCCTTCCCTGTGTCTAGCCGTAGTTCTTGTAAGATAATCGCCTGCGAACGCTTAATGCTTTAGATAGCCAATTTTACAAGGATCGAACCAATTTCCCGCTATTAAATGCCGTTTAATTAATAAATTAATCCCTCCGATGTCCGTGTTTTACTTTCATTTTGCTTCTTCTGTGTCGCAGATTTTCCCGCAAATCGGAGCGAGGAGCGAAGGAGCTGAGAGAGAAGTCGCGGACTTGTGAGGAGGGGAAAACCTGCCTGGAGGCGCCCGTTCTGAATCCGCGACTCAAGCGGAGTTGCAGCAGCAGCGAGAAACTTTACTCGTACAAAAGCTCCTCCATCATGTTAGAGAACGAGGCGTCGACAGAGCCGTTACTGGCCACCAGCAGCGCCAGCTCCAAAAACACTGGCTTCTTCATTGTATCCCCGAGAGGGCGCACCGATCAAACCTACGACTAGTTCCATGCAAAAGCCAAGCTCTCCACTACCTTGCTAAGGAAAAACGCCGCACAGTGGATCGAATCAATAGGAGAGGTCGGACAAAATTTGAAAACTTTAAACGCTCATAACTCCACTCATACAAAATTTTGAGGCTCTAAAAGTGGCTCCATTGGTTTCCTCGTGAAATTTTCTACTTGTAACACCCCTTGAAATGTAAAATGTGACGAGATAAACACCTAAATTTGCTGTTTTAGTCCAAAATTTCAAGTCGAGCCTCTCTGATTGACTCGATCCACTGTGCGCCGTGTGAATATTCGAGAGTTGCAAAATTTCCTCTCGGGAAATCGTTATTTTTTAAAGAAATGTACGAATATTTGGACCGCGTTAAACAGGAAGGAACCAAGCCACATCAGCTATTGCCAAATTTAACAATGGTATTTTACTTTTTACGAGCGAACGTTTGTGCGGATTCCTTTGCAAATGTTAAGGAATTTGCTTTGTATTATGGAGAAAATTACATGAAGTGAATTACATCTAGTGTTTGTGGATCTCCAGAAAGCTTACGATAGTGTGCCATTGATGAAACTTTGGGAAGCCTTGAACAAAAGGGGTTTTAGTGGGGGACTAATTAGTGCTATTAAGGAATTTTATGGTGGGGCTTTCTCTAGGGTTAAATCGCATGGGGAGTTATCGTTGGGGTTTTTAATTACTAAAGGACTGAAACAAGGGTGTTGTTTGTCGCCAACCTTATTTAAAGTGTACCTGGAAGAAGTTTTAAAGGAATGGAAAAGATGCTGTTCGGGAATGGGCGTCCCGCTACGTGAAGATGGCACCCTTTATACTCTGTGCTTTGCTGATGATCAGGTGGTAATAGCTCAGGACGAAGAAGATGCGAATTACATGACGCGGAAGCTAGTGGAAGTATACCGAAAGTGGGGAATGGAAGTAAATGTGGTTAAGACGGAGAAGTTGGTTATCGGTGGTGATCAGCAAAGCATTGAACTGGAGGATGGCCGGAAGATCCTGGACTGTGAAGAGTATAAATATCTCGGAGTTCGGTTAACTAAGGACGGAAATTTGGATCGGGCCATCAAAGATCGGAATGTGCAAGGCAGGAAAGCTATCGCGATGCTAAATGGGGTTCTCTGGGACCAGAGTATCTCCAAGGAGACCAAAAGGAAAATTTACAGCGTCATCGTGAAGAGTATCGTAACTTACGGGAGTGAGGTCTGGCAACTTAAGAAAAGAACTGAAGACATGCTTAGGGCAACCGAGATGGACTTTTGGCGAAGGTCTGCTGGGATATCGAGAAGAGAGCGTATCCGCAATGAAAGGGTACGCGAGAAAATGGGTGTGGAAAAGGACATCGTGCACGATATCAGGTCCAAGCAGTTGGTCTGGTATGGACATGTGCGAAGGATGGCAGATGATCGGTTGCCCAAGCAGGTCTTCGATTGGGTTCCTCCCGGAAGGCGACGGCGTGGACGTCCTGTGAAAGGTTGGCGACAAGGGGTGGAGGAGGAGATCAGAAGGTGCCAATTGCCTGATGATCTCTGGGAGGATAGGGGGCAATGGCGATTGGGCGTCGCAGAGCGCGAGGCGGCGCTATAATCGCGACTTTATGTATGTATTATGGAGAAAATTCACTGAAATTTGCACAAAAATCCGCACAACCGTTTTCATGTAAACAATTTAATTGTTCAGTTAAATTTGTCAATAGCTGATGTGGCTTGGTTCCTTTCTGTCTAACGCGATCCATTTTTCTTGAAATTTTCAAGAACTTTAGGTGAAATTGCAAACAAAATAATCTGAAAAATTGGAGGACAGATATTTACAAATTTTCCCAAAAATTCGTGATTTATCAAAGGAAATTAGGCAATGCCTGAAGTTTCATAGGGCGTTTTTCCTTAGCACGGCAGTCCAGTGCCGTTAAGTTTTTAGCGATGTATCAATTAATTGATCTGCCTTTTAACCCCATGGCAAAGGATCGATGACAAACAGAGTGTTCGCAAGGAACACACTAATCGATTCTTTACCATAGCTTTAAATGGAGAAAGATCGATAATCGATCATTTACGCCGCGCCACTGAGCTCAAGCAAAGAGCGGAACTCTTTCAATTAGTAAGATATGCAACACGTCATGCTGCTTTGCTAAGTCGCTTCTGCCAATATCTTGTCTGCTATTGCCAGGGAGTTGGTTTAGTATCTAAGTCTATTGATTCTAATATTTTATCGCAATAATTCATTTCCTTCTATAACTCTCATTTTTTACTGCGCTTTCATTTTCTCGCATTCAATTTTATTTCCTCCTCTTTTTCTAAGATTCTTTCTCATTATTTCGTTTTTCAGGAAAGGGAAATTAATTTTTGTCATCTTGTAAAAGCTATCAATTAGACTACTAATTCCAAATTATTGTATTAATATGAGAATTTCATTGGACACCGGAGAAATGTAATAGTTTCGATTGGTCATCATATAGTTCATCATAGATTCCCGATGATATTGCCGTTCCTGAGGATATATGTGAACCATAATCATAACTATGGTAGCATTATAATTACCGCAGTCCAATGGCAAAACTGTAGAAGTACCCATCTCGAATTTTGACTTTTTGAGTTGGATGTAATTCCACGGTCATGGTTTAAGTACCTAACAGTTTGGTAAGTAAGTTTCCCCTATCAGCCCCAGAGTAATAATTCACATCTCTTCTTCCGATGTTCTTTACATATTTTCTCTTGAGCATAGAAACTTAGTCCTCAAATGTTCATTTATTACTTTCTTTACCACCGTCGCGAATCCGGGAGCGAACATAGTTGATGCGCATTCCTGCAATTACAATGTATTCTGTGGCGATGTCCAAAAAGTATTTTTTTGCCGTTTTTTTGTCAACCTAGTGACGGTTTAAACATTTTTGCCTCGTCTTTTTATACTTCATGTTGATTTTCCCCTTTATATCACTTCTGCACCTTGTTCATTTTCCCCTCCCCCATTTGATCTCAAATTTTCTTTTCTTTTACACTTTTTCTGGTATATTTCCTTTTAAAAAAGAAAAAAATAAGGAAACTGTTATTTATATTTAGAAATGGGCAATTTCAACGTCAAAATTCTAAAAAGTTCAAAAATTAATGCTATGTGTCTTAAAGAGGATGAATTGTTTTTTCCCCTTCAATGCGTCTTATAATTAGTTATAACGATATTCCTTGTTTATAAATTAATCCTCTTCAACATTATCTGTGTATTTCCTTTAATAAAAAAGTAGTTTCCTTTCATGAGGAATTTAACGTGAAATTCTAAAAGCTGTTATAGTTTATCGAGTTGAACTTAAGCTCTTCTCTCTCATCTTACGCTTGAAAACTGTTAAGAGGGGGAGGAAATATCTTCCTCGGATACGAAATCCGGTTAAAATGGATTATTTTTCTTCTCCTCTTTTTTTTTACTTTCTCATCTCTAGGCCTTGAATTTTCTTTTCTATACATCCTTGCCTTTTTTATGCATCAGACTTATATTAGCTTTGTCACTCAATCTTTAGAAACTTTGCTTTGAAAAATCTTAAGACAATTAATTTACTTGTTAATATAATATTACGCATAAAAAATAAATTATTTTAACAATAGTTCCGTGAGTTTTTCCTTTCCCACACTGCCTAATGTGCCCAAACCCATGGCTCAAGTTCAAACATATGGACGTATTTATATCAAACAGAACTATGTGCATTATGACGTGAGCCCTGTTATGCACAAATCCGTATGGGTCTCAGGGCTCATGTCTTTAAGCACATGGTTCCGTTTGGCAGAAATATGTTTATACATCGACGGATAAATGGACCAACATATAACATTGATCATGTGAGCACGGTAAATGTTGATCAGCATAGTTGAAGGAATTTGGAACTGGAATGCCTCCACTGCAGCAGTGCACTATGAGGGAATACTTGAAAGGCCCCCAAACGCGGTCAAATTATGGACAAACTTAAAGGTCACCGATGACACGAAATCACACCACTAGCCAACCAACGGTCTTCAGGGGTGATCGATGACATCTGAGTCTGTTCGTATTGCAATCGTGTGATAATAAAACCAAGAGTCCCTCAGCAATTTCAAGACGGCAAGTGATTCGCTGTGCCCGACAAGTTGGTCGGTGGGCGCGGACAAGCAACTATTTAAACTCCCCGAAGATCAAATTGCATACTCAACGAGATGAAGGAGCTTCAAACGATTGCGCTGGTCAGCATCGCGGCCGGCCGGTGCCCTCTGGTCGGATATACACTTGGATTTCGATGAACAATTTTGATTATAGAATTAATAAATAGTAAGTCTTGTGTTTGCACTCTTGTTGATTTTTATTTTGGTTAGGGTTTATTTATCAATTCTATTCTTATATGTGATGGTGTTGCATACCCGAGAAAATTAAGGAACTTTCAGAGATTGCGAGATCTTCAACGAAGCAGGCAAACTTACAGTGCTCACGGAGGGAGAGTTGTCCTTTTGTGTGTCCCTTTTTTATTGATCGTAGAAAATAGGCTATTATAGCATTGGCGGCCATGAGTATACAAATGAGACGGTAACTCAACGCAACCGTTGAAATCTCTCTTAGGTTCAATTTTAATCAAATAATCGTGAAATATTTGACATGAAGAAAGTAATCATCCAAAAGAAAAAAATTAAAGCCTAATTTTCTTGTGACAATAACATACACGTATGATATTTTGAAAAAAGCCATGGGTATTATCTCGTGAGAGGTTTTGCATGTGTCGCAAGCAATGTACGAGTAGACAAGGCGCGACTTTAAGCATTCTGATGCATGTCTCTTCACAAGAACTTCGCATAGAACACGATTTGCGCAACGAAAATTACTAAAACCTACTCCTATATAAGATATTAACGTTCTTATACTTTACATTGATTTCAACTATTTTGAATTCCCTGCTTACTTGTTTGCTCACGACAAATCGCACACTACAACGGTTTTGGCAGGGTTCTTAATCGAACAATGTTCCTTCCTCTTGCGTCGCTCAATGTGTTAACAACGCGCAACAAATAAGCCGAAGCACCAAAATTGGGTTTGTCCTTCTTTTATTCCGCAGAGGCTGTTACGATGACGTACGCGATATGGCTCAAGTACTTAGACTTTTGTTTTTCCATGAGCGGGAGGTTTAATTTTACGCATCATAAAAGTTAAATATCTTAGGTAAGAGTCGGTTCCAGTAATTTTTGTTGTGCAAATCGTGTTCTATGTAAAATTTTGACTAAGTCGCACGTAGCAGAATGCTCAAATTCGTAACTTGTGTACTGGTTCATTAACAACCACCGGCAATTCACAAGCGACATGTTGGTTCGATAAACCGCAATAATGCGCATCGGCGTGATTAAGGTTTGATGGCAATGAACTTCAACTTCAAAAGCACGATTCCAGCTTAGAGCTCCTACATTTTTTTTGATACTCTACGCATTGTCATGAGGCTAATTTATTCGCCTGTCCGATCCAAACCCTAATAGGGTCACGGATTTCACTACTTACGCTCTTTTGAATGTGCCGATTACTACCATATTTATACATGCATGCATGCTCCTGCATGCACATATTTTCCAGAAATTGAACTTTCCTGTGAATTCTCTGACTTACCCTGGTTCGTCGTAACCTACCTTCCTGGTTTTCCAGACCGCTGGCAGCCTGCACATACCTAGTCCGGAATTCGAATAGTTGCTCGCTTCAATTTCGACTGTTACAAACTGAAAAATTACGCTATTTTCATCTCAATATCGCGAGAATCACGCGATTTTACCGACATATACGTTAAATCCTGAGAAATTGCGCTTTTATCAGCTCGGTATATCGCGCAAAATGCATTTTTCTCTCATAATAATGAAAAATTACGCAAGAATGGACCAGTAGACAAGGCTCAAATTTCTGCATTCTGATACACGTTTCATGATCAAAATTTCACGTAAAACACGATGCGCACATCGAAAATTACCGAAATCAACCAGTTATGAAGATATTTAATGATTCTTGATGCGTGAATTCAAACCACCCGCTCATGAAAACTCAATGCTCTACGTTACTCACATCGCGCGCTAAACGTTATCATGACAGTCTCTGCGATATAAAAATCAGGCAACCTTAATCTTGACGCTTTAGCTCAGCTATTGCAAGTTGTTCATAGTTTGAACAGTACATTGTGGGAAATGAACATCGCTTGATTGAGAAGCTTACTGAAACCGTTGTAGTGCACGATTTGACTCACGTAGAGCTTTGAGTTTCTTGTGAGCGGGCAGTTCAAACTCCTCGTAACCAATGTGAAATATAAACGTTAATATCTTTGTTAGGAGTTGATTTCGGTAATTTTCGTTACGCAAATCGTGTTCTACGTGAAATTCTGGTCAAAAAACATGTATTAGAATGCTTAAATTCGTACCTTGTCTATTGGTCCATTACCGCAATATCAGGCAAATACGTGATGGTTTCAGAGGGTTTGTAAATTTACAATTACAACAAATTCCAAATTCGTCACCTCAATATCGCGGAGTGCACGCAATTTTTACAGCGGTCGATGAAATATATATTAAAGATCCCACATTTTCACTTCAATTGCGGAATAGACGTGACTTTAATATCAATGTGAGCATAATTTTCACGAGCGTAGTTAATTCAGATAGGAGACCACAGAGCAGATATGAATCGCCTGCGATTTCGCGTGATACCACATACTTACCCCGGAGTTTGAATAGTTGCTCGCTTCAATTCTGACTGCTACAAACTGAGAAATTGCGCGATTTTTATATCAATATCGGGAGAGGCCCCCAATATGTCTGACGGATTATTTAAATCCTTAGAAATTGAGCACTTTTCATTCCGGTTTCACGCAAAATGCATTTTCTCTCTCGCAATTTTGCGAGCAAAAATGAGAAATTACGCAAGACTCACGCAAGTACGCGATTGTTCCGGAGAATTCGGAAAATCATCAAAAATTTCCGACGGATTCTTTCAAACCTGAGACATTATGCGCTTTTTATCTTGAGGTCACGCGAAATGCATTTTGTGCTTCGCGCTTGCGATTTTGCCAAAAAAAAAAAAAAAAAAGAGAATTACGCGAGAATCGCGGCAAAAACGCATTTGTTTCAGAGGTTTGGTAAAATTACAAAAAATTCCGAATTAGTCGCCTCAATATCGCGGCGTGCCAGCAAATTTTACAGCGGTTTATGATAAATTTTAAAGATCCCACAATTTTTACTTCAATCGCGGAAAAGACGCGGTAGTTAATTCAGATAGGAGAGCTGCTAGGTATGAATCTCCTTCAATTTCGCGTGATACCACATACCTACTCCAGAGTTCGAATAGTTGCTCGCTTCAATTCCGACCGTTGAAAAGTGAAGCATTGCGCGATTTTCATTTCAATATTTCTTGAATCACGCGATATTTCCGACAGATTCGTTAAAACTTGATATATTATGTGCTTTTCATCTCGGTATCCAATCATTTGGATTGATAGAAATGAAAGTTGGACGCATTTATGCTAAAAGGAACTATAGCATAGTGTGTGAGGGAACGGAGACAGGATTGGGGAATGAGTTGATTTAAGATAACAAGAAACGTCCGATTTATGTAGTCTTTATTCCCGTTTGTGACATCTACGAGCCGCGTTGTCTCAACTCTCTCTGTGGAGGGACTCTAGGTTGAACCACTGAGTTCGGAAATATAGCGAATGACGTATCACTAGATCAGTTTATCTATTTTAACTGATAAGACGGCACACAGTGGAACAAGTCTTTGGAAGAGGTCGGACATGACATTTTTGACAAAAATTGTAAATTTGTACGTTTATTTCCTCACAATGTTAATTTTAAGGTGTCCTTTTTTTTAAGAAAAATTTACGAGGAAACCAAAGAAATTACCTTTTAAAAACTATAATTTCACATTCGCGAACATATGACGACTCATATGTAACAATGGCGGATGTGAAAAATTACCTTTTATGAAACACGCTGAAAAAACTGTTTCGGCATCGAGAAAATCTTGAGGAAATACTTGTGATGTGATCTTCGTGATCTGTACATTACGCCAGAGGCAAACATATTACATTTTTGTGTGACCAATGCAGTTTTTTAAGCGTGTTTCGAGAGGGTAATTTTTTACATCCGCCATCGTTACAGATAATGCCTCATATGCGCTTTTAAAGTTTTTGAAGCTTGTCCGACCTCTCCCAATGACTCGACGCACTGTGCGGCAGCGGGCGTACCCTAGTAGCAGAGTTATATAAAAAATTTGTTTTTAAAAGTATAAACCGTAAATAACCACAAGCTAAAGAATATTCATTGTTTATGTAATGGATGTAAAGTTTTTTAGTTAAAAGTTTACTAAAAAACTTATTTTATTATGTAACCCTTAGTATAAAAGTTATATAACCAAATTCAAAGAGTGTATAAAATGAATTTTNACTCGACGCACTGTGCGGCAGCGGGCGTATATTACTCAGACTGAGCCTGAATCAGAAAACGCATTTTTAGGATGATTTTTCAGCGACTGCAGGTAACTTTACACTGGGAACCCCCCTTCTCTCCCCCCCCCGCGCTGAAAGCGAGCTCCCCGGTGATCGCGTGCGGTGACTCTCGTCCCGCAGACTCCTCGCGCGACTGGGTGCGACCATAGAGTACATAGAGTCGTAATGTAAATGGGAGAGCTGACGCCATGTTCTGCTCGACGAATTCCGAGCCCGGTGTGCGCCGAGTTCGGGTCGCTTTTTCGATACATTTTCGATCCAAAATGGCGGTGTGCAATACGTGGTAATTCCTATCTCCTTTTTTGTTGTTGTTGTTGTTGTTGTTGTTGTTGTTCTTGCTGTTGTTGTTGTTGTTCTTGTTGTTGTTGTTCTTGTTGTTGTAATCGGATGGCCGGGTACCCGCGTATCGCAAACAATCGATTATGCATCGAAAAAGTGACCCGGCGTCACACAGGAGTCTCTGAATTCGGGACATGGAAAATGCTTAAAAGTGGCGCCAGCTCTCCCACTTACATTACGACTCTATGTACTCTATGGTCCGACTACTTGTTGAGCTCGCGCCGCGTGGCTTTCGTTTCCCGCGCCTCTTCCCGCCTCTTCCCGCCTCATCCCGCCTCTTCCCGCCTCCTCTGTCACGGCTCCTGCAAATCCTCTCCACTTGTTTGCTCGGCCTCGACATTCGGAGCATTCGCTGCATGTTCTCAGTATCCGGCGTTCGCCCGCGACGCGACGTTCGCAGCCTCCGCCCCGCGGGTTGTTGTGCCCTGGATCGCTGGCCTCCGGGTGGGTGTGCGTTGGAGTGTCGCCTAGGTATCTCAATCTATTTCCAAATGATAATCACGGTCGGAACTGCGGTCAACGAGACGTTACCTGTCGTTCCAATGGCTCAGTATCGGTGTCCAAACCACCGACGCAACGGTGGATTATTATTGAATCGGTGAGTGCAGAAACGACTTATCTCTACACGACCGGGAAAGGTGCCAAATGGCAATACTGCCGTGCCAAGGAAGAACCGAATTTATTGGGAATTTTGGAATATATTTTTCCAAAATTTTCAGGCAATTTTGAGCGGAATTTAATCGAAAATATGTGGAAATTTCAAGGAAAAAATACATGTTTTATCAAGGGAAATTTGGCAACTCTCGAATGCTCATACGGCGTTTTTCATCAGTACGGCAGAATAGACTAAGGCAGTGTAATGATGACCTATAGTAAAAAGGATCTCGCATGAACATTTTACACCCTCGTCGTGTCAGGGATCCGAGATTTCTGTAGTTTTTGGCACGTGACTCTTCTAGACCTTTCCCTCTGAGCCCATGTGGTGCTTGACGTTGTTTTTGGGCGGCCCCTAATATGTCGATGAAAGTTGAAGGAATTTAGACATCGGCATCTGTGTGCTGAGTAATCAGAGAGTTTAATTCCTGTGGTCCAATCTGGCGCGTTTTTGGGGAGGGTGGGATTGGCTGCTCCTTCCCTTGCACTTAGTAACTTTGGTAAATCTTACTCCATAATATAAGTAATTTGAACATATTTATGCCAAAAGGAACTATGGCTCACGAAAACCCTATGCGCATAGTTGCTTTTAGCATAAATACGTTAATGTATCATGTAAAATTGCGAAAGGAACGCGTAATGCATAAAACCTGAGGTGAGAAGCGCCTCGGTTGGTCAGACCGAGAGGCGGTGAGGGGGCACAGTCCACTGGGTTTGTATAGTTTCATAGCGGCATTTCAAAGAAATTATACTATTCCTTTTCCCAGCAAAGATCTTGTCAAAAATCGTTCCTTTCTGGAGACATTCGGGAATTTTGCTGAATTGTGGCCCGGACGAAACCTCATGATAAGGCAATACTCCAGAGATAGTTAAATTTGAGTTCAAAGCTTGTTTCGGCGTTACAGCGTTGCAAAATTTGCATTCTTGCCGCCAAGATACGCTAATTTTTTGAAGTTCCCAGTTGAAAAATGAACTTTCGTTGGTCCCCTTTGAAATCTGAGGCAAAATATATCAACTGATCTGTGCTTCGAGAAGTAAAATAGCATTAACTAAAGTGGTTTTTCAAACCAAAAACTCCTAAATATCAGAATTTTTTTAAGAGTTTAAAATATGAGCGTTTCAACGGTGTATTGTCAAAACAAAGTCAGAAATCAAGCTAAAACTTTCACTGGAGTACCTATTTTCTATCATAAAGTTCCGTGTACGGTACAAAAATCCCTGCGTCCCCCCCAAAAATGGGCAACGGGGGACACAAATGCCTTTTTTGGACAGGCTTTTGTGTCTCTTTTCAAGACATCTTCCAAGACCCCTCTTCAGATTTGGCGTATTGAAGACCGTAGATCACAAAAATTTGACAGATCTATAATAGGTTTGTACCTAAATAATAGGTACATTGTGTAGATGAGCAAACTGCACGACCTCCATGACCGCCGATTTTAAAGTATGTACTTCTCCTTATTTTTAGTCTGGGAGCCACAAAGTCACTAAATTGCGTGCCGCCTTAAACATTTTTGGGTAGGTATCCTCCGGAGACCCAAAGACACCTTTAAGAGCTTGTTGGCAAACGCGCAGAAAATCCGTTCTCGACTTTTAGGGGCTATTCTCATAACAGATTAAAGCAAAATATTTGTTTTTGGGTTATGCGGTTCCTCCTCCCTCCTCGGAAGCCCATTGGTAGTCTGAAGCGCTTGATTTGGCCAAAATTTCAGCGATTTGCGCAATGTTTCTTTTAACTCAAATGGCAAGCACTTAAGATACAATACCATATCTTTAATTTTTAAGAAGCATCACATATATACAGGGAATTAAGAGGATGTATCGAGTAACAATTAGTTTTCTAGGGAGGTTTTTGTGCCTTTGAAGCCGATTGCAAAGTCGAAAACCACGTTTTTTTCAAGTTTTAACTGATTGTCACAAATTTTTTAGAGTGGCCTGGCAAGTTGGCAAGCACGTAAAAATTGGGCCTTCCCAATACGAATAGGTTGAGTCATTGCTTCAAAGAATCATTTTTCCTCTTTTAACTTTAACGATTTTTTGAACATCTGGGCCAATTTCACGCAAGAGATACAGCCAAGTAAAAAGACTTACTGCGAGTAAAAACGCACAAAAATCAAATTGAATATCAATAAAGTTTGAAATCGCTTCTTTTATGCATAATCTACCCAGTTTGTTTCCTGCGTCCAGGGTCAGTTTTTGGGGTTGAGTTTTCAAAGGTTGAATGAACATAGGATTGTCACGCCGAGAGATCTGTAACATAGATTTGGGAGAGGAAGCATCGGCAGAAAACGTTACAATAATAAACCTTCAAATCTTTACCGCTTAACCGTGATCACTGATCGACACCAATTTAACCAACAAATTATTAAAAAACCGGTGTCGATTCGATCAATTCACTTTGTGACTTTTTAATAGAATCCATACCCTATGTTTTGATAGGGTTCATTGATCAAATGAACCGCATTTACAATTAAGAACCACAATTTCTGACTTCGTTTCGGAACAACGTGGGTACCGTTTGTTTCCTAACGCACACAAGAGTTTTCACAGATGAGCCAAAATTTTTAGTTCCGAATAGCGAAATGTAGTCAAAATAATCACGCCATTACATTGCTGAGCAACGAGGGAGATTACGTGTCAAATTCGCTTCACTTTCATGATTTTATTTAAAATTATTCATAAAAATATGTAAATGAAGAGAAGAAACTTAGTTGGGTTTTATGTTTTATCTTTTGAAATGACAATAATTCCAAAAAACTTTATAAAAACCTCAAAATCATAAGTTGAAAACCGCAAACATCGCAAGTTTGAATAATGGCATTAAACACAGTGCTGCTGGCGCGCACGGCGCGATTCGCATAGTAGCGCCATAGAAGGCCGCAGGATACTTCATGCATTGCGCGGTTAGTGCCGTATGGCACGGTGCGCACAGCGCGTAGTATAGCGCCTTACAAGTCTGCAGGATACTTCGTGCATTGCGCGTATAGCACGGTGCATGCAGCGCGTAGTGTATCGCCCTACAAGTCTGCAGGATACTTCATGCATTGCGCCTGATTCTAATTGCAGGGATTTAGAAATTCGGACGGCGTTTACTTTTTTTTCTTTCTTTCTTTCTTTCTTTTTTTTTTGAATGAAAATAATAAAAAAGAAAATAGAATGAAAGAAAATATCAGGTCAAAATTTTCTTTGATTTTGTTTGAAATCAGTTAGGCGCTCCTGAGTCTTTGTCTGCATTTTACGATTGCTTAAAAAGAAAATACGTATAATAATTGCAACGATTCAGAAAAATCACGTATAGTTAAATGTATATAGTTACTCCATGCGTACTCGATATCTACAATGAGTTCATGGGAGGAAACTCACGAAAAATTCGCTACGACTTCGCCTTAATTAGTAAAACATTAAAAAACTTAATTACAGTTGAAACGTTCAAATGCTTTTATTTCTATCAAAAACAAGACATTTAATTTTTTTCTTTTTTTTTCCTGATGGTTCATTGGCTTCGTGTCTAGCACCTGCAGCCAACTTTAGACTAGAAAGGTACTTAGCTCTCTGTGCGGATAATATGGGGACAGGAGCTCTCCGAGAAAATAAATTTTGTATACTTGCTTTGTGACGTTTTTCAAAAGATTCGCTCCGTTCCAAACTGAGAAATTTTTTTTCCAGTTTCACGATCGATAAGCAGCTCACGATTGAACAGTTAGGACAAACAAATACTATGTCTATTGATACCACAATGTTGGAGCATCACATGCTTTCACTCTTGGTGGTAGATACTATAATCACACAATATGGCTTGGGGTTTGGAAAGGAAGCTAGAGGCAAAATTAATTATCTATGGGTGGGAGGAGGAGGACATCGCCGCGGTAATCATTCAGTCTGAGAAAAAATGAGGGTCTAATTTTCAGAGCAGAAAAATTACGTGGGTACCTATCCGACGTTCGTGTTTTAATGTTTCCGTCCTCTTATTATTTCCCTCTCATTTCTCCAAGCTTGAAACAATCTTTTTCACGGTAATGATGTGCACTGCAATTTTATTTCTTCGTATTGCAGTCACTTTTTTCCATGTTTTCCCGCAGCTCTTTAATAACGTCCACAAAGTATCTTATGCTCAAAATCAATTATCCGTGCTTTGAAAATTCACGCAAATCTTAGCTAGAGCTTCAAGTAATTGCATTTTCGAAAGGAGAAGGGGTCAAAACCAGATATCCCATTTTTTAAAAGAAAAACTGAGAAAAAATATTGGAAATTTTCCATTTGTTAAAATGTAAGCACCGCCGTATATAATGTACATCCTAGATACGGGCAAGTTTTTGCGAATTAAACCGAGTTTTCCTGAATATTCATATTTCTTTAGGTAATGTGCGAAGTTTTCATATTATTTTACTCGCGGTTTTATCCAAAAAGTCTGAAGATTTCGCTGCACTATACTCATGACTTCACTCCATAAACATTTTGTCAGAGGAAATTTGACAAGTTTAAAAATGCTGATACGCTGTTTTTCCTAAGCGCGGTGGTAAAGCGGACGAAATAAGCTTACGTCAGTGAGTTTATTTAGTAACAACTATGAGGGGTTCCTGTCGAAGGAGCTGTCCGTGTAGGCAAAAAGCGGCTAAAACTCTTGTTCCGAACTTTGTAATTTTATTCTCGGGCGCGAGGGCGAGGTGAGAGATCATGTCTGGAATCTCAATGAGCCTCCGGCGCTTGTTATTTAATTTAATTTCGTTAAACGAGGCCAGTCGCCATGTGGATGGATCTTGGTCGCCACCGGTCGAACCTGAACCCAGACCCCGTGAGCGATCCGCTGCTTCCCGAAATTCTACAACCGCATATCTCCACGGGAGGCCATTTTTTATCGCACACTTCAAATTCCACCAGGTAAAACTGCTAAACTGAAGAAAACCTGTATGGAATTTATTAAATTGAGTTCGGGTTAAATACTGAAGT